TCCAATTTAAAGGAGCCTTCCCAAAATATTTATTATTGAAGCACCATCTGTTTGAAGCCTGTAGGGTCAGTACAATGTGCAGTTTTACAACAACAAGGCTTTTTTGCTGTCCTAAATTCCTCCCTATCCTATCCATCAAAAAGTCAGAGAATAACGACATTTCACACTCATGTTTATCCTTGTTTGACGTAAACACATCTGGAAAATCAGTTTGCATTCAAAGTGTCTCACTTGTTAAATTGCTTAATTGAAGTATAAAACTAAAGGTCCTCCAGATTTCTGAACCAGCCACATCAATGAAATGATATAATGAGGAGAACAAATCAGATTAAATTATTCATGATTGTATTGTTTGTTCTTGCATGGCTCTGTGTTTATGGGGTCATCTGGAGACTTAGTTATCGCTGCTCTGACACAGATCCCAGCTCGGCAAAGACAGAACACGTCGTGGAGCTCAGACAAGCATAGCTTTAGCTGCTGTTTGTCGCAGGAATACAGACCTGCCAGAATTAACAAACGTTAATCAAATTTGGCGTGTGGTTGCAAGGATGCTAAATTATATGAATCTATAAATCTGATTTCTACCACGATCCTTGACGCTTTGTCAATTGTTTGTAGAAGGGAAACTGTTTGTACTAGGGCTGCTAGTCTTACATTTGAATCAGACCGTCAGACAAAGTTTGCGTTATCCAGCAGAGGGCGCTCACTATCAGCATGCCCTCTTGACCAGTGATCAGTAAGCCGGTAATGTTAGTTTGTTCTGCTACAAAGATGGAGGACACTAGTATACTGATCAACAGTCAATTGTTGCTAGCCAACATTTTACATAAACTTATATTAAAGGGGACCTTGTATGCTTTTTTCAGTTTTTCCCTGTTCTCTAGTGGGTTGTATATGTTTTTTGTGAATGTAAACTCTTAGCTAGGAGCCGTTTCACCACCCTCCAGAAGAGTTTCCTACTACTTAGGGTTAGAGTTAGTAATATATTTATAATAATATTAAAATATTGCTTCTGAAACCTTTTGACTGTGTTATATTATAAACTATATTATAAAACAAATGAAACATAATCAATGGATACATGGAGAGCCTCCACTGAAGCTTTAGCTCCAGAGAGAGAGAAACTCACATGACAGAAAGACATGGGTGGAAGCAGGGAGATTACTCAGGGAGATAGAGTGAGGCTGGTTAAAGAGGATCAGTTTATCTTCACAAAGGCCTACATGGTTCCCCGAGGGCCGAGAGAGAGAGAGAGAGAGACTGACTTTTTATCCTTCACTTGATCACAACAACACGCGGCAGAATTAGGTCGAGATGCCTAGTTAGACATGCAAATTACATGTATTCCAGTAATAAATGAGACACCTATTTGGTTATTTTTAAACCTAAACCTGCTCAGCCTGGTTTTCCGAGTCTTTAGGGTGCACTCTCTGCTGCTTTACTTTACTCTCATTTATTCACATGCAGAGTTTAATGTTCAGAGATTTGTGACTTCTGGTGATGGGATGATTTCCACTGTGGTTTGAAGTGATTATCAGATGATCTGCTTTTTTCATATGAATGTGTTGCCCTCTATGGGCTGCTTGAGACACTACAGCTTATGCACATTTGATCTCTTAATTGTGCCCAGGCGCAGGCGTGCATGGGTAACACGGTCGACTTCTCTCTGATTGTTTTGTGCAGGTTTTGCGGGTCCAACGTCCCTGACGTCTTAATTGCTCTTGCAGCTGAGTTTCTGCCAATATCTCAAAGCCAGGATGCCCTGCAGGAAAACAAAATACATTGTTTATTCTAAAGAGAAGAATCCAATTAGAAGATATAAAGCATGGCTAGGCTGAGCATTAGCCTTTGGCAAAATATAATTAAGACGAGTTTAATGAGGCCACATGGTATCATATCTGCACCCTTCTAATTGGCAGCTTTTCCCATTTCTTTCCCCTCTTGTGAGGGATTTAAGTTGAATTCATACCCATATCCACATCTTGAACACTCTGTCTGTCTGTGTCTGCAGCCACACAAACACACATCCCAGATGGAGACGGCCACGGATTAGTGAAGATTTTCCTTCATTTAATAAACAATTGAATGACACAGTTCTGAGGATAAACCTGCTCAAAGAAGCACAAGAATAGTCTGGAGAGGGGAGACTACAGGGCATTATCCTGCTTCATCATGGGATAGCTGTGTATCATTCAGAATTACTGTCCGCCTCCAGCACCGCATGCCCCCTACAGCTGCCAATCATTCACATCAGGCGGCAGCATGCTGTCATCAACCTACAGTAAACCTGATCCTTTCTGATTGTGTGCTCTGCGCTAAACAATGTATATTAATCAAGATGCAACAGAGCACCTTATAGCATTATTCGAGGCAAAGAGAGTCCAGCCATTCACTGTCCATGCAGACAATCACATCCAGAACAAGACCTTTTTATCGACATTGTTGCATAATTGTTGCAGCTCAACTGCAAAAACATTAGCAGGTGCAAATGAAAGTGCTTGAAGCTTTAACAAGATTTGTAAAAAACTGTTTCAAATCTGAAAAAAGAAAGACTTTGGGCCGCTGTACATTATGAATCAAAAACAGGCCGATATATCAACGGCTGCTGCAGCAGCGAGGATGATGGTAAAGATGTTAATCTCATGCACGTTCAGGAGATGGCTTCACTGCTCGACACCACTGACATGAGCAAATGATGGATATGAAGATATGCTTTATGATTAGATGCTGGCTGCATTTTGTATTCATGTCTCACAATACACACATCAGAGTTATGAGTGTCATTTGACTGTTCACATGGAGGAGGTGGGACTTATGACCTCTACTGCAGCCAACCAGTTTGATTGTGACACTTTGGCTTCACTTTTGGGAAGCTGTTGTGTCGTCCGTCTTTATTCTATGGTTCAGTTATGTCAGTGATAAAGGAGAAATCATCTTTCAAGCCATGTGAGTAGCTGTCTGTGAGTAGCACAGTTTCGTTGGAGGAAAGATGAATCTGGCTGCGTTTTAAAGAAAACTCATGTCTATAATTTTGTAAAATAAATATTGCATAAGTTCCTTTTCTTATATAATCATGTCAGGATGTTTTCTGCCATTAAGAGGTTGGATTTTTCTATTTTCTAAGTGTGTGTTACCACATTTTTCTGATGTGTTGAGCGCCTTACTTCAGACCCACAACACGTGAAATCCACAAACAAGCTCAGCACAGATCGCATGACATGTACGATTAAATGTAAAGCAAAACCATCCGCTAATCTGAATTTAGAGAATGTAAATGCTTTTGCAGTGATGATGATGATGATATGATGATGGGGCGTTGCTGGGAGAAGTGACCGCACGTTACATCATATCCATGTCCTGCTGAGCTCTTTTGCTCACGTGAGGTGAGAGGATTGGGCCTGGGATTGTTTGGGGATTAGTCAGAAGGACTTACTAGATTCAGAAATTAAGGGACAGGAGAGCACTGCAGCAGCCGGCCTCAAATTGTCCCAGGAGGAATAAGAAAGCACCAAATCACTGCAGCAGAAGCCCGTGTCGAAACAAATTCATTTCTTTTGCTTTTGCTGTCTGTCTCTTTCTCACACCTGCACATATTTTTCTCCTCTTCATCTATGCACCCCTCCGTCCCACCACCAATCTGCTAATTCTCTGCCTCTACATGCTGTCAGTCTGGAAAAGGAGGAAGGCGTGCCCGGCTGAACAGATGTGGAGATCTCAGCTGGAGATCATAACACTCTCTCACTCCCTCTCTCTTTCCCTCTCTCTTTCCCTCGCTCCATCTCTATCTCTCTCTCTCTCTAAGGATCCGCTCTGTCTGTATATTTTAGTACACGAGGAAATCTATCCACAGTTTATCTGCAGTCACTGGATTTAGTTGCAACAATACTTTCTCTTTTTTACTTGGCCAATCTTCAAACTGGAGACACAGATAGACACCGACTGCTGGGATCACTTGATCCAGCTTCAGCTGTCCGGTTCGGGTGACGGAGCACCCTGTGAGTTAGACATCTTCCTCTTTTCCCTCTTTTTCATTTCTTTAGCTTCCTTATCTTCCCTCGATTCTTTCTTCACATCATCATGATCATTCTTTCTTCTCCTGAACAATTTCTTTTGCTCGTTTTCGGCATGAAAATGTATTTAAGCTTTGAGCAATGACAGTAAATGAGGGGGAGTGATGAGGCCATCAGGGGTACACCAGATGCTTTGTTTTTTCTTGACTGTATATTCCTGTTGACTGTTAGTTTATGGAAGAACTTCTTTTCTTATTTTATATTTGCATGATATTGTTGCTTGTTTTTTATATTTGCATATCTTCCTTTGTAAATCTTTAGAACAGGCACACTTATGAGGTTGACACTTAGACAATAAAGTTTTGAATCTTGAATCTCAAATCTATGAATGACAAACATAGAAGACATAACATAATTATTAGATGCAACCCTGCACATGAAACCTAAGGAGATCTATACTTTCAAGTGAAACACATGCTTTTGATTTTTAATGTTTCACTTATTTTCTTTTTTCAATTACACTTTTTATGAGTTAAGGAAACTTTCTAACTTCTGCATTTAATTGAACGATTTAAACCTGAACATTAACGTTTTTTAGCTCAGATGTCACATATGCACTTATAATGCAATTGCTCATTTAACTCAGATGCAGACGAGATTTGTTTTTTAATGTTATTACCTTTACACTTATTTAGAAACAGTCGCTGCTTATAATCACTCGGTTATTCAGCTATCCATATCATGTGATACATTTGTGTTTGCCTTGACTGTAGCTTAATAAAAAGAGTAAAGGCAGCACCAAATGTGATTGTTGTGTCTCAGCATGTTTGAGATTGAATGGTCAGTGAATATTATTTAATATTCAATATTATAATGGACACAATTATATAATAAAAGTACTTAAAGTTAACTGACTTAACCCAAATCATGCTGTGAAAATTACCACATAACAGAGGAGATTAACCTCTTCCATACTGGTCTGTGTTTCAGGTGACACACACAAGGTGGAGATCCCCAGAGGAGAGGTGGAGGTGGTGAAAGGCGAGATGGTGGTGCTACAAGCCTGGTACAGCCCCAACTCTGACATTTCCAGGAACTCTGTCATTTGGCAATTCATGGGGAATAAGTCGAGGCAGGTGAGGAGGCCGGACCATGGATCAGCAATGATCTGCTGTGTAGTTAACCCTGCTCTGACCTTTGGCGGAGCAGAGACAGGAGAGCCTCTTTAAAGGGATTAAAGTCAAGTACAGTACGAGTTTGATGACACTCATGCTGTTGTAGAAATCTACAAACCGAAATATTAGAGCTGGGACCATGATTAAGCAAATATTTGATGATCATATTAATATTTAAGTCATTTTTAGCAAAGTACAATATTCTCTCTAGCTTTTCTAATAAGATGATCTGCAGCTTTCTTTGAATTCAATAGTTTCCGTGGATGTGAAGATAAAAACATGAGCCATCTTGTAGATAGAATCAACAGATCAATCATTATGGCAGTTGGATGTAGTGTAGAAAGCCTAATATAAATACATTTCAGTAAATCGTATTGAACCAGCTACATCAGGGGAAAAAAGGGAGAGAGGTCCAGATAGAGAACATTTTGTCAAGCAAAAGTCTGGAACATCACAATGTCTTAACTAGTTTGATGATTCAGTGCAATAGTTATTGAAATATTAGATGTATAAACAACTGACCATCAAATTAAATAAAGTATGATTCAATAATATTTCCAGTTTTCACGTTGAACTGGTGGGATAATATACACATGTTCTCCAATAAAAAGTATTGAGTTTTTTTCAAACGAGCATCTCAAAATAAAGTGCTTCATTTAAGAAAAAACTCAAGTTAAAGAGCAAATTAAGTTTTACCTTTTCTTTTTGTTGAAACTTGGCTCTTGGCTGTTAACCTTTCTCTTTTTAGATTATTTGAAGTTCTTTTCTCTGTCTATTCTTCCTCCTCTTGTTCTCTCCCTGCTCTGTGTATCTCACTATCTTACTCCAGGCAAAATGCTCATCGGAGTCACAGATTTAATTGGCTGACTTTTATCACACATGCAAATAGTCTGTGAGTTCCCTGGGCTGCTAACAAAACGTCTAGGAAAGCTTTTCCGGTGAAAAGAGAGACGTTCTCTCAAATTTTGATCATTCTTAATAATTTTAAGTTAAAGGTCCGGATCAGGATACAATGACGTCTGTATCCGGACCAGGGTCCACCTATTAGTGACCATTAAGCTACACCCATTAACCACAACACTAAATCAGGTAATGTTGTGGCAGATCGGTCTATATTTATTCACACTTTGAACCATAAGCAATGTGATTGATAACTATATTTTATGGATTCAGTTATTTTTCATGTCTTGCCTGAGTCAAAAATACTCAGATGAGCCACAAACTAAATAGCTGCTATAATGTTGTCTTTTTTCTATGCTGTCCCAGGCCTGTCCCTTCACTGCTTAATGTTATGCAACAGGAAGGGAGCCATTATTTGTTTCCATGAAACTGTTACATCCGGAGAAACATATCTGGTAATGTGTAAGGTGAAAAAAAAGATGATCTGTGGAGATTAGGATTATCTCCAACACCACTGCTGATGTCTAGTACATAGCAGAAGGATGGATGGATGGATGGATGACACTTTTGACATTTCATCTCTGCTTTCCACTGAACCTCCTATATGAAACATGGACCTCTAGTGAAAAATATAGTAATATATAGTAATACAGTGTGTGTGAAGGGTCTTTGCATGATTATTTTAATCTGAACAGTGTCAGTGTACGATGTCTGAGCTTAGCTCAAACAGAAAATCAGCCTAAAATTCAACATCCACCATCTGTACATGTCAGGATTATCTTTATGAAGCACATTGATTTCTGTTATAGGGTTAATCTGCACTTCCTAAAAGGCCTGCAGTAAATGAAATAAAATGTTTTACATAAATAGTGTATAAAGATTAAAAAAGGACATTGTCATTACACAATCCTAATAATTACTTATGAAGTAATTTGTGCAGTAATACTATACAGATGTAAAGTGTTTCCATGATTGTGTTTTCTCTGTGCAGGTGATAAACTTCAGCTCTGGTGAGGTCGGGCTTGGTCAGAGTGATTACACCACCAGAGTGGGCTTCAGTGTGGCCATGCCCTCAGCCAACCTTTCCATCTACATCAACAACACCCAGGAGTCTGACTCGGGTCGTTACGTCTGCAGCGTCCTCATCCCTAGAAGTAATGGCATTTCAGGAGAGATACACCTTAATGTCAAAGGTAAGGGAGCTCAGCCTCACAGCAATTCAAATCAAAGGTCAGATTCAATCACAACAGTCTGCACTGCGCCTCACACTTTTCCTTTTGGATTTGAAAATCCAACCAGAGTAAATGCCGAACATATTTTGGATTGGACCCGTCTGTTAAACATGTTGTATTTGTGTGAGTAAGCACTGTACAAATAAAACTCATCTGCTGTTGAGGGATTCGCAGGCCATTATGTCATCCTCCAGCAGCAGATGGGACAAAGGGGGAGGGGTGGGCGTCAAAACACTTTTTTTTTTACTAAATGGCTGCTGCCCTGAGAAACCTCCACGTCGCTGGTAGTGGATTATAACTTATGTACCAGTTCAGTAGGGGGTCATTGATCCTTAATTCTTCTGTTAACTTAATAACACTGTCTGTCTTTCCCCCCAGTCCCCCCCTCTCCCCCAGTTTGCACCATGACAGGAAATCCAGTGGTGAAGGGCAACGTGACGCTGAGCTGTAAATCCAGTCATGGAAAACCCATCCCTCAGTACAAATGGACCAAGGCTGCGCCCTTATCAGAGGTTTTCTTCTCACCGATGCAGAGTGAGTATTGTCGTGACGAGGATGTACCTCTTACATCTAAGCTGCTCTCGTTTTTAACATGTGACAGTTGCAAACTTAAAATAAAAGAATCCAAATATCTCAGGATAAAAAGAGGTGTCATGCGCTTAGAAGACCACGACAGAAATTGGAAAGACAACGACAATAGAGATCTTAGGGTGGAAGCTAATGTTGATGTCTTGTAAACAAAAAAAGGTGCTTCTGCAGCAGCATTAAAACACAGTGCCTCCTGCTGCTCTTCTGAGGTGCCACCTCTCGTCTGAATGTTCTGTAAATCTGCCCGTTGTTGTGGACGTGTCTAACCTGGACAATCTCCTGTTACATTCTTCATATGTGAAAGACAAACTACGGAGTTTATGTCTGATGGTCAGGTTATCTGATGATGGTGTCCTTTAATTCCAGGTGTCAAAATCCAGCTGAGTGATGATCTCAGGCACTTTAATACCACAACAATTAATCATAAGAAGGAGATATATGATATAGCAAGTACTGTCCATACAATTTGACCAGGGTGTTGCCACTAAGGTTAAATGCAGGTTTCCTCATCTACCTGTTCTTTTTGCAGATTTGTGCAAACTGAGAGGCTGAATAAAGTACTTTAAACCTCTATATATTATTTTAGATTTTTAAAAAAACTATTAATTCAATGTAGAGTTTTGTTTGATATTATAAAATATGCTTCAGATGCACATTTATCTATTTTAAATGATTACAGAAACACGATATTAGGAATGTTGGCACATTAAAAATATATTATTATTATTTTTACTATTTTGCCATTGTTAAAATAAAAGAAAGCTTATTGTCACTTAGCCCAACTGTCCTGTAGAGAAATGATCTTTAATCCTGTTTACGTTCTCGTCTAAAGGTCACACCCCTTGATGTTGACCCTGTCACCTTACATGCACATGGGGCAGAGGTCACGTCCATAACCCACGTACATGATGATAAGTCGCAGAGTTTGCCTATGGGCTTGACTTTGCTGATAGATGTTCCAAACTCTCCTGAGAGGAAGATCCTCCATCATGTCCATAACATCCATAGTGAAATCCTCTTTACAGATTGAGACACACAGTACACTTCAGCGTAATAGAGAAGAAAGTGCAATCCTGCGAGTCTTGCATGTGCCTCATTTGTCGCATTATTTTGTTGATGTTTGTTTCCAGATAATGCTGCAGAGAAAACACCATCTGTTTCTGCACAATGAGACACAGGCTGATTGATTGAGTATTGGCTTAACTGTTTTGATCTCTGGCCCTTCATCTCTTTATGGCAGAAAAGTCCTCAGACTGATAGAATGAAAACTACTCCCTGTGATTGTGCATTGACCCGGGGGTTTGTGGAGCAGTGTGCACACTCACTCCTGCATCATGTGTGTGTCTGCACCTCTTACATGCCATCAAACCCTGTGCTCCATCTTTGTATCTGCACTGATGTATGCTCTCTCTCTCTCTGACACTTGAACTTCACTCTGCCATCGCTGCTTATCTTTCAGTGATCTCTCATATTCTGCTTTGCTGTTTTTTTTCTCTCTGCTGATCCTCTCTCTGTGCTCCTCATTTCCTGTTGACCTCGTGCCTAATCTAACGTCGTCCCATGTCATTACTTAATCAACCCCTCCTAGAGGCATAATTTGATTTGGGGACGGACAGTGCAGCGTCTTTCCCCCTGTCCTGTCGGTCTATAACACTCCCTCCCTACCCTTCATTCATGCTCACACTGTCTCAACCATCTTTTCCTCCTGCAAAGAATGGAGAACCTGCCCCCAGCCCATGCTTGTGCTTGGGTTCATGGGTAAGGATTTTCACTCATAACCATTTCTACTCATTTACTCATAACACAATCCATCCCTCCCACCCTCACCTGCAAACAGTGCAGTGGCCCAGACATCTCACATGAGCAACTAAATGGAAAACGCAAATGCAGGAGCCACCACACAACTGCAAAAGCTATAACAATTGCAAAAGTGACAACAAAACTACAAAAGTCATAACACAACTACAAAAGTCATAACACAACTACAAAAGTGATAATACAACTAAAAAATCCACAACACAACTGCAAAAGTGATAACACAACTGCAAAACCCACCTCTGCATGTTTCATTGTCAACATTTGTTGCAATTGTGTTTTGCGTTAATGCGCTTGTGACGTCTCGGCCACTGTAAAACTGTGACCTCCTGAGGGGTCAGAGTGTCTGTAGTCAACTCCCGTTATGTCAGCCTTAAGCCATAGAAAAGCTTTAAATGCAAAAATCAACCCAGTTTATCAGGATGCTAATAGAGTTATGATTAAGAAATTATAATCTATTGTAAATAAAAAAAAACTGCTTAGCGTTGGTGTGAAACCAGGTGATAATCCCATTCAACCTTTAATATCCTCATTCTCCTTGAACATTCATAGATTAATATAGCATGTTAAACTATTGAGGAATAACAAGTAGTATTTTATCTTTACTGAAATGATGCGGAATAAAAAATGGCTGTAAAAATGTCATGAATAAATATATGAGAGGGATTTTCATAGTTGCATATATTCATATTTTGTGATAAAGGGTTGAATTTGCCGTGTCAATCTTTATTGTAAGTGTGTTGTTTTAGACTTGGCTGTCACTCCATTCATTCATCTTTCCATTGTGTGCTACATATGAATGCTGCAGGAGGCTTGTTGGAAAGCAGAAGTCCTCGGGGCTATTTATTTATTCATTTATTTATTTTTCTATAAGGTTGAAATGATAAGTCAATCTGTCAATATTTTTAGACATGTAAAACATGTTGTGCTGTCACAGGTTTAATAATTTGAATGTTAGAATTAAGTCCTATTTTTGGTGCAAGTAGAAAGGTGAATGAATTGACAGCTGTGTTCTGTACAGTCCTGTTCAGATGTTTATTAAATCCTCAGTTACATTCACCTTGATGTCAATTGAAGTAGAATATGAGTTTTTATGTTTTTTTATTTCTGGGTCATTTGGTCCATTCTTGTGAACACCTTTAGGGAATTTCTTCAAATTTGGCAAACATTTCCAGTTTGGCTCGAGGTTGAACTGAGAAGGATTTGGTGGTTAATGTTACTGTGACCCCCTGAAACGCAAATTTTGCCTTATGAACGAAAACATGATTGTAGCACCTTGAAGGAATTACAACAAATTGGGTATTTGGGTATTTATGATCAAAGTTCAAGGTCATGTTGATCATTTGAACATGTCATTTTAAGAACACCTCAACATAATCCTTTTACATTTGGCACAAGGGTCCACTTAAAATCACAGATTACCTGATAAGATTTGTGTGGTCAAAGGTCAAGTCACGGTGGCCTCACAAACCATGTTTTAGGCCTTGTGAGCATTATATCTGAAGTCTGCCTCTCTGGCAGACGTCAGTTGTCACTTGGACTCAAAGATGAACTGATTAGATTTTAGTTGTCAAAGGTCAAAGTGACCTTGTATGAAAAATAATTGAACGCAGGCTGAAACTGCTCTGCTTGGTGCAGACAAACAATCACAGGGTGGTAATTCTAGTAGTAATGATGAAATCAGTGTTTAGTAAAAGACAGTTCTTGGTTCACAAGGTGTCTTTTTTTTCTTGACACATGAATTTGTGCAGTTGTTTACATGGATTTGAAAAGCTGTCATGTGATGTATCAACCCATCCAGATCTGCTGATTCCCATTAATCAAGTGTCAGGGCTCTAACAAATGCTGCTCAGTGACCTTGCAGTGACGGCAGCGTAATATGAGTAATGCTGCTTCTTATGACGCTGTAATGTCACGTTCCCTCCAGTGCCGCCACCACTGGAATCTGATCAGTGTGCTGGCTTGAACTCGCTCCTGGCTCCGAGTCAGCTGATGTTCTGCTAATCTGTCTCAATTGGGTTTGGTTCCTCACAGCTGGATTTCAAACTGGCAGAATAAATAATCAGAGCGGGTGAGGTGCACGTTGGACTCATCTACGTTTGTTTTCATGTTAACAGCTGGATGGAAGTATTTGTTATCTGTTAACAAATACCAGCTAATTATACTTGTGTGTTTGCTTCAGCTCACGTTGAGTGAAATCCATCAACAGCAGATTAACATCAGAGTTTGTGACTTCACTCAGTGACTGTACAAATTACATTTTCACTGTGCTGCAGCCAAAACACGAAGCTCAGTCCAGCCTTCACTCACCCAAACTTTGGGATCAAGGCGGCTGTGTGGATACGCTGAATGTGATTGTCTGGTCTCTTGCACTAATATGTTGCTTGCTGGCGTAACCTTGACTTTTCATCGAGGATGATTTGGATGAGTCCCTGATTTGCATAAGTTTTCTTTCGGGATTGACTCCGTGCAGAGTGCGACACACGTACACAAGCAAGAATGAGGGAGACTCTATAAGGGTCATTCCACCAAACTAACACACACACATACACACACAGTCTTATTTCCTTATGTCCCCACCAAAGCAAAAGACCACATCAGATGAAGACATGCAGCAATGTGACGTGTAAGATTGGATTTGAGAGGATTTGTATGTTTGCGACAACACAGCAGTTTGAAGCCAGATGTGCCAAGAACAGATTGTGTTGAATGGAAATATCTGGTTGTGAAAGCACTGAACACAGCAAAAAGTGCTGAGCAACATGTTGTAAGATTCCCGCAAGTCATCCTCTGCTCTCTGCAATGCCAAACATTCTGGATTAAGGAAGTACGGCGGAGTATTGGGCCACTCAAAGAGGGAAAACATTTGGAGATTTCAAGAATAGTCGTAATTTCAAAAAAGTAAACTCCAAATATTACGAAAAGGAATTGCTATTTTACAAATAGGAATTTTACAAGAATAAAGTCACAATATTAAGAAAATAAAAGATAATTTTAAAAGAAAAAAACTTGTTATATTACAAGAAAAAAACGTTGACATGAATAAAGTCAGAGCATTATGTGAAAAAAGTTTTAACTTACAAGACTGAAGTCATAATATACTACAGAAGAGTCAGAATATTACTTTTATTATATTTTATATATTACCATTGTATTATTTTACATTCAGTGTGTTTGTTAATAGTTGCCAAACCTTTAATATTGTAGTTTAATGTTAACCATACAGTTCCCTTGGTTAGCTCTATTAAACATGTATAATGTATATGATGTATAATGAATGATTCCAGTTTGCAAATAATGTTTAATGTGCGGTTGTTTTGTAGACGAGAGACACGGCACCCTCAGGCTCAGCAACCTCACCAAAAACATGTCGGGGAAGTACGTCTGCAGAGCCAGCAACACGGCCGGCTCCGACAGCTGCTCCATTAACCTGGAAGTTATCACCTGTATGTCCACAGTAAAAAACATTTTTACTCCTCTCCAGTGTATATTTAAATCACAGCTGTGAGGGTAAATACTGACTGATGTTGTTGTTGAAGCTTCCAACGCAGGCATGATCGCAGCAGCCACCCTGGGGTCCGTGGTGGGACTCATGGCCATGGTGCTGTTCCTCATATTCATACTGAGGAGGAGACGGGACACGGAGGAGGAGATCGCCAACGAGATCAAGTGAGTATCACTTCACACTCACTGGTCACTTTATGAGATGTACACGTCCAATCATCCATTACCTGTATCACTTTAGCTGCAGCCCATCCCAGCTGACATTGGGCAAGAGGCGGGAGAGACCCCGGACAGATCACCAGCATATCACAGCACCCATTCACACTCACACCTACAAACACAGGGAGAACATGCAAACTCCAGAAAGACCCCGACCAAACCGGGTTTGGACTCTGTAACCTTCGTGCTGTGAGGCGATGGTGGTTACCACTGCTCCACTGTGCCCGCGTCCAGTTCATTGCAATACATTACAGCAGTTCTCTTTATGAAGTTTATACATGTTGTTCAGTTTTCTAACACTCAGAAATGTCATTGTAAGATTATTATTGATGTCAAATATTAGAAACACCTCTGAAAATTGTGTAGTTTAGTGTAACTGCTACAAACCACAGAACTCATATATCTGCATTAAGACTTATATCACAAAAAACTGAAGACAGAAATCAAATAAATAAATAACTATTTAAAAAACAGATGTAGATGTAACAACCACTCAAAACGTTTTACATTGCAACTAACATTCACCCATTCTACGTGCTGTATTAATGAATAAGCTGAATGTGCGTCACGTGTACTTTCACCTTATGGAAGCAAGAAAAGATTTTTGAGTAATTCTTCACTTTTTGTTTTGATAAACTTTCTGTTTTCCTCTTCTCATCTCTTCTCTCTCTCTCCACCTCAGGGAGGATGCTCAGGCACCGAAGCGAGTGTCATGGGCAAAGAGCAACACCGGCTCCGACATCGTGTCCAAGAACGGCACGCTGTCCTCCATAGCAACCAGTCCTCGACCACGAGACCCACACCCGCCCAACTACCACTACCCGTACTCCCCCATGTCGGCGTCAGACACGGGCTCAGTCATCAACGCCTACCAGCTGCGACCTGGAGAAGCCAACACCTTACAGGGACTTCCTGGTTACAACATTGGAGGCACTCCTTCACGTAAACACAAGCGGCCTCCCTGTACAAACGGGGGCCCTCCGGAGGTTGTCAGGAGCCCTGCGGTCGCCGTCCCCAACAGGACTGAGGGGGCACAGCCTCAGGCGCCGCCACTCGCCATGTCCCCACAAATGAGCTCCTCCACACTGACGCGCACGGGAGCCGTTGCCGTCATGGTGCCAGCTCAGAGCCAAGCCGGCTCGCTGGTGTAACCACACTGAGAGGAAATAAGAGGACGCCGGTTGTTGATGGGAATGTTCGCCATTAAATGGGACATACTTTCTCGATGAAGACCTGAAAGGTTGAGAGAGAAGATGGTTTGTGCCTCATTTGCACAAACGCTTTGCTGATCAATGTAAATGCGGCATCGTTCATTTCAGTTTCTTTTTTCATTTGCTGCGTTTTGTCTCACTGAAGTGTTATTTTTATTTACACGCTCAGAAAGACATTTATAATAATGTTGTCAAGTAGCATTAAAATACCAGTTATTATAAGATCTGTCTGGATACTGTAAACCATAATGAATGGTTGAGTGCTCTTAGAGTTTGGAAGTTCTTGTATAATAACGTTTTGGGTACATTTGAATAATGTAAAAAAAATAACTACGTATGATTTTTTTTCAATTTAATTTTTCACTGTCAGTTCACTTTTCTCAGGCTAACTGCACAAGTTGAGGGCAAAATTTCAGGTTGTTTCTTTAACCTGAATTCTTCTGAGAGAACTTGCTGTTTGAGTTTATCGCCGGTCGTGGTAGATGGGATGTAACCAAAATTGTGCATTTAATATTGTTGAAGTAGATTCTGTTTTGTTCAAAAGGTGCTTGATATAATTTGATATTATTGCCGTAAAAAACATGAGACGATTAGCTGAGAATTGAGAATATTGGTCTTCAGACTGAAACTTGTTTGTTTTCTTGTAATTATACTGAACTCTGGATTTAACGTGGCAGTGAATTATCTGTGTTGACAGGTTACATGTAGCACTTTTAATGCAGTTCTGATTGTTTTCCAATAAAGTGCTCTGGAGTGTTTGATTTTAGCAGCACTGAATTTTTATCACTTTCAAATAACAAATCCCAGTCTCGTGTCCTTCAAGTGATCCATAAATAGGCAAATTCCTTTATGAAAATTCAGAACATTTTATTTGGAGTGTAATTTGCAAAGTGACATTTTAATATACGACCCATAAAATACCAACTTTACACACCACATGCTTTTCTGCAGCTACAGAAACCACAATGGAGTAAAACACACACAAACGATACAGTAACAGAAGATCTGAAAAGTCACTTAAGGGACACAGACACTGATGTTGCATGTGACAAACTGTAAATATGTGATATAATTACCTCAGCCAAGGAGTTTACCTTTACACTGATGTCAGTTGTTGGTTGGTTTGTTTGTCAGCAGGATTACGGTGAAACTACTTAACGGATTTCCACTAAACTTGGAAGTGGGGGTAAGTGTAGGAAGAACACATACACTTTTGGTGCGTATGTGGATTAAGAGGCAGTTTTAGTGTTTTTAACTACGTCTAAATGATTTATTCATCACATAACATGGTGCAGTGGTGGTGCACTGTTGCTGTTCTTAGACAAAAACATCTAGAAAATCAAAATTTTAGATTATCAGATCTCATCCTTAGTCCTTTTATGTTTCTACTGTAAGAACTGGACAAAGGATAGTTTGGCCTTGGCAGAGGTAGAATATATATGTATGAGCACTTAGGTTGGTGTTAAGTTATTTTCAACAGTTTTAGCAGCTTTTTAACTAAACTAAACGACAGGAAATAGATGTTTAGGATGAAAAATCTAAAGAAAACTATGATTTTTTTTTTCTGCAGGTGGTGCCAGACTTATTGTTTTGTTTCCATGTGGAGTGGTTGTGAACATTACTCAGCCCGACATTGTCTGTGTTCGTCAGCTCTGTACTTTCTCTTGATCTAGGTGTACTTACATTCAGCTGTGCCTTGAGCTGTATGCTAATGTTAGCATTCTAAATGTTTAACATTGTTGCGTTAGCATTTATTCGCAGAATAGCTGGAAATCCAATCATCACTTACTGTAAGTGAGGGGCACGAGGAAACTTTGCCCTGCAGATGGCACTGAATGAGAAGTTATTTGGATTCTATGAACCATGAGTCTATCTGTACAATGTTTACTGAAATATTTCACTCTGGACTAGAATGAGGAGACCGGCTCATGATTTTCACTGTAGCTAAAAATGAAACAAACAAAAAAACCTAATATTCTAGAAAACGTTTCTCACCCTTGAGAAAAACCTATGATGCTGGAAGCAATTCAGAAAATAAGTCACACAGTAACAGACCAGCGATGGAGACCATAATGATGTGGTCACTAGTGAAGTCACTTCTCGATCCAGAGAGTGAGATTTATCACGACTCTGTCAGAAGGTTCCGGGAAATAATCATCCTCATCACCTCGTTTGTTCCTTTAAGGGAAACAGAAGAAGCAGAGTCACAAAAAATTACATTTTCACAAAATCATGGTCTGACAACAATTTAAATGTGAGGAAATCAAAATCTGAAAGCTCACCCTCCAGGATCTGATGTACCCTGATGTCACGGACAAACTGCTGCACTGCGTAGTCTTTGAGGTAACCGTACCCGCCAAACATCTGAAGCGCCTGGTTACAGATCTGTTCAGGGAGCACGATGCATGCAGCGGTAAAAAACTAAAATCTGACAGTTTTATTGCTGTTATCACTCACTATCACTCACATTAAAGCACTCGTCTGTAGCAAAGAGCTTGGCCATGGAGCAGAGAGAAACGGCATCGGATCGGCTCTCCTGCAGCGCCGTGGCAGCTTCGCGCACCAGGAGGCGAGACGCAACCAACTTGGTCGCCATTTCTGCCAGTTTGAACTGAAGAAACTACACAGGACGGTCAGAGACAGAAGGAAAAGTAAATCACAGACACAGACCAGCGGCTGAACACTGAATCTTGGTTCTTACCTGGTTGTTGGAAAGTGTTTCTCCGAACTGTTTGCGTACCAACAGGTGATCCCTGGCGAGCTGCACACAGGCATGAGCCGCCCCCAGAGAACAGGAGGCTGTCGATAGAATATTCACATGATAACTGATGTGTATAGTGAAAAGTAGGGACAGGTATCAGGATTAAATTATTATTATTTTTACTATAGTAAAACTACCAGAAAAGAGTCATCCGGTCAGAAAACAAATTCAAGTGTCAGTCAGATAATAAGAAAGTGTCTACGGGTCTATAAAGTTGAATTTGAAACTTTTTAAGACCTTTGTAACACAACTTGAGATTAAATTGAGACTTAAATTGTGATTAAAATGGAAACATCAGTTTGACCAGGACCATACTAACAGAGCAGTGCATACCCAAACTAATAATCCTTCTTTTTTTCTGGCAGAGAAGAGACATTCTCCGGGTGACATTAAAATGTTTGGACCCATCCAATCTGAATTAAAGTCAATATAATACTTTAAAGCACTTTTTAAGCACTGTGTAATTTACATCTAATAATATGTTCATCTTTGCCGCAAGCTATTGGTTAAACCAAAGAAAAGGTGAGTTTGACATTATGAATTGAATTTTTCAGTTAGTAAGTAAGTGAATGTTTTATTTCCTTTTTAAAAATGTACATAATCATAGTCTTGATTTACTCTCAGCATCAATAACTGTTCTTCGTGTATTAACCACCTCCAGACTTCATTCTTTTTAACAACATGCTCATATTTTATTCACAAATCGATTGCAGACACACTCATTCATAGCTGCTCTGCAGAATGACTGGCTATTGATTTGTTCACATCTATAAAATCAATATCTGTGTGAGATCATTTCCATGAGCTTTCCAGCTATAGGGATGATTTGGGTGTCATAAGATGCTGCGTAATGAAGGAGTGAATATTTATGTTGTTTTCCTCCTCACCGATATTAATCCTGCCTCCGTTCAGGCCTTTCATGGCGATGTTGAAGCCTTGTCCCTCCGCCCCGAGCCGGTTGCTCACTGGAACGGCACAGTCCTCAAATATCACCGCTCTGGTCGGCTGAGAGTTCCAGCCCACCTAAAGAACAGAACTGTGACATAATTCTGCCATCTAATGGTTAACTGTCAAAACTACAAGAGAGCAAAATGAGCAGTCGGTTGCACATATAAGGCAAAAACACACATTCTCTCAAAATGTTACCTTTTTTTCTTTTTTGCCAAAGTTGAGGCCTGGAGTTCCCTTCTCTACCACCACACATGAGATGCCTTTAGGTCCTTTACCTCCGGTTCTGCATATCACAACATAAACGTCTGTGTCTCCTCCTCCGCTGATGAAAGCCTGGAACATCGTCGAGCAATCAGATACGTGTCTGGAGCGACAGTTCATGGTGCAATATGAAGCCACATGTGAGCGTCGACACGTGTGAAGACTTTAATACCTTGGAGCCGTTCAAGATGTAGTGGTCACCTTTCCGCTGAGCAGAGGTCAGAAGTGAAGCAGCATCACTGCCGCTGCCTGAAGTCAAAGATCTCTTCTTTATTCACTTTGAAATATATTCTCAAATATCACATTCAAGGACTTTTTAAAGGACTCTCCAGCCCCAGTTCTCTTAAAATCATTATTCCGACATGCCGACGTCAGCTTTGGCAGAAGTATGCGCTTTTCTAGTTGATTATATTTGTGGAGTGGATTTTTCCTTTCAGTGTGTATGAACTGACCTGGTTCAGTGAGACAATAGGAAGCAAACTTTTCCATTGAGCAGAGATCAGGACAGAACTTCTCCCTCTGCTCGTTGTTGCCAAAAGTGTCAATCATCCAGGCGCACATGCTGCAAAGAAAGAAGCGGAACTGAAACATATGCAGCTGTCGTTTACACATCTTTCACTGCAGAGTCCATGATAGTGGTCATAATGTATTCACAACTCAGCCGTCCGCTGGTCATCTGAGCAACCAAACAATGAATCTTTTCATCATATGTTAACTTTATTATTGCGGTGTGAGGGATTCATACTTGTGGATGCTGATGTACGCTGTGGTGCTGACGCATCCTGTGGATAAAGCCTCGAAGATGACTGACGTGTCCAGGCGAGAAAGACCTGATCCTCCAACATCTGGCTGAACGTAGATCCCCCCAAACCCCAGCTGTGCTGCTTTTCTCATCGTCTCTACTGGGAAGATTTCCTGGAAAGAACCAGACTAATTAATTATTATTGTTACAGCCCAACCAGGACCTGGTTCTGTCTTTAAATATAACTCACAATAGGCAACACATAATCTAATTCTGACAAAAATAAAAACTGCTCTTTTTTAAACCAAGTGATGGATTATTGTAAATGTCAGATTCTGAAGTCCCTACTCTTGCCTTCGTGTTCTCTTTAGTGACATTATAAATGAATCTTTGCTGCAAAAATACCTTCTGGTCCCACTCTGCCATGTGCGGAGCCATTTCATTGGCTGCAAAGTCAAAGGCCACTTTCTGGAACTCCCTCTGTTCCTCTGTGAGTCCGTGAGCAGCTGTCAACAAAGAGCAGAGAACATTAGGTACGACACACAAAGCCAATTATAGGCACTCATACTAGTACCCGGATATAAAGTGTCAGTCATGCATAAATAAAGATAAAATTGAACTTTTGTATTGCATTTGTCAGATGATTTTGAATATATTTGGCTGGCAGGAGTCTTGAGGCTGCAGAAAGTACTGACACAACTACTAAACCTGGGGGAAGAGGAAGAAAAGCTCTTTATCGAATAAATGTATAAATATGCAATAGATCTGTCTATATTTTTACTTTTCAGTGTGTGTGTCATCTGTTTCCTTCATCCTCATGCTTTGTATACAAAAAAATGGAAGACGATATATGTGTAAATTCAAGGTGTCTTGTAATTCCAACAAGAGATTAGCCAAAATGCATTGACACAGCAATATAATATGTGTATGTGTGTACTACTGTGACTACAGTCTCTCATTCAGCTTCTCGCTCTTGAGCAAATAAATACTTAAGATTGCTGTAGCTAATGAGCAGCTCTAGGACAGTTAGTAAAACATGAGCAACTGAAAATGACACGAGCCTTGTACCGTGTTACCATCGGCTCCATTTCACTCCACTTAAGTTGGTGTTAAATACAAACAAGATTTGAGAATGGTCGCAACACATAAGTATTATTAATCAGAACTTGTCATTACAGTCACATATTGAAAACCTTGTTTCCAGGTCGAAAATTAAATTAGGTTTCTCTTCTATTTTTAGTCCATGTTGAACGTAGTACTTTAGGTCTAATCCTTGTTGAACCTAGTACTTTGAAGTGTAGTCCATGTTTGCCCAGCTGATGAGATTATTATACACCTTCAGAAAGTAACTACCTGTCTGTCACAGAGTTTGTTTACCCGCATGATCTCTACATGTCTCCTGCAGGAGGAGCCCGGGATGAACGTGTAGTAAGCATCTGTATGAAGTTACTTTATGAAGAAGTAGTAAACAATAGGGAAGATGAACGACAGTTATTCTTCTGTCATCATGTAACCTGTGTGAGGAGAGGGGCGGTGTTAGTGAGGGGTGTGTGTCTCTCTGACCAATGACAGCGGTTCAGATCTAACATTTAAAATCGACCCATCGTGTCTGTGTTCTCTCATTCATTCATTCACAGTTTACATGAGTTTGGGATCTGGAGAGCTGGAGACGGTAGCTGACATACAGTGAGTTCGATTCGTTCACCCGGTGCAGTTCAGAAGGTTTTGTCTGTCATGTGTAAATACATCCACGTGTTTCTGGACTTACGGTCAACACATGTAGCGATCCCCCGGCTGAGTGAGCTCCTGCTGGGTAATAACCTCTGGTTCCTCCTGCAGATGCTGGAGCTCAGTCTGAACAACCTGGATAAAGGTCCTACAGCCGCCATGTTTCCTCTCACAGCGTTATGTCACCGAGCCGCCACCGCTGCTGGGAAATGTAGTGTTATCATCAGGGAGGCGCAAAGCAGCTTCTATGAAATACAGCGCCCCCTGCGGCCAGAAGTGGTGATTGACTGTGTTGGGGCTGATATTGAGCTATCTATCTATCTGTCTGTCTGTCTGTCTGTCTGTCTGTCGATCTGTCTATCTGTCTGTCTGTCTGTCTGTCTGTCTATCTATCTATCTGTCTATCTGTCTGTCTGTCTGTCTGTCTATCTATCTGTCTATCTGTCTGTCTGTCTGTCTGTCTGTCTATCTATCTATCTGTCTATCTGTCTGTCTGTCTGTCTGTCTNTCTGTCTGTCTGTCTATCTATCTGTCTATCTGTCTGTCTGTCTGTCTGTCTGTCTATCTATCTATCTGTCTATCTGTCTGTCTGTCTGTCTGTCTGTCTGTCTATCTATCTGTCTGTCTGTCTATCTGTCTATCTATCTATCTATCTATCTGTCTATCTGTCTGTCTGTCTGTCTACCTTGGGGGGGGGGCTGAGCAGGTGATAACAATTGGTGTATGCAACTCTGAGTTCAATTACACCTGAGTGGAGCGTGTGTGTGTGTGTGTGTGTGTGTGTGTGTGTGTGTGTGTGTGTGTGTGTGTGTGTGTGTGTGTGGATAAAAAACCCCTCATCAGTGGAACACAGATGTCATCATGGTGATTGTGTTGAATTGACCCTCCCCCCAGGTGGAGATAGAAATTCTCATGTATACTGAAGGAGGACAAACAGGCAATTTGTGTGAGTACTGAGAAAATGTTGTGTGAACAGTGCATACGTGTGTGTTTTTAATTTTACTCAACAGGCATAAAATGTTCTTGGCAGCTACTGCAAATGAAATGTGAAAATACATTCTAAACAGACGAGGTATAATTTCATTACAAGTCTAACAAAGCTGTGAGACAACAAAGAGACAACTCCTCCTTTCCAGCTCTGCCAGGATTTTAACAAAGTCTGTTTGAAAGCAACGCCTACAAGCTTTTATCCCTGAGAGTCTCTAAATTTATATGTGACTCCCAATGTAGCCAATAGAAACAAGCCTGAGGTGTGAAAAACGAGTTTAAGTGTTTCAGGTTTTTATAGAAACAGTTGGGTGTGTGTTTAACCATTTGTTTTTTTCCTCGTACCTTACACTGCTGCTCATATGTTGAATGCAGCTTTGACTGTCAGCATAGTGTCGTTTGTATTTACATTTTTCTTGTAACATTACAGATCTGGAAATAAGGCTGCAGCTAACTTACTTCTAATTAATAATGTGCAATCTCATGTTCATCTTAATCACTTGTTTGGTCTGAAAATACCTTCCAACTCTGTAAAGTAATTTTCTCTAAGATTTTGAACTTGAATTACAAAAAACCATTAACATCAGTCATAACCAGGATTTTTTATATGGAAATGATTGAAACATGTTTGAGTGAGCAAGTTTGCAGTTCTGTAACTGGTGTATAAGTAATTCATGGAGGACAACTTGGCTTCTTTAGTTTTCAGAGGAGCTGTTTTTATTTGAAAAAACACAATCAATTCTGGCCTATGTTGTGTGGCTCTAAATGACAACACAACTCACCCGTGTGCTTTATGTTGCACGACGTGGTCAAACTGAAACTTCTTCATGTGATGTTTTTATTATTTTGTCCCCCATGTCTCTTCATAACCACGTCAACACATTCATCTCTTCAACACCAACAATACAGACTCTGAGGTTTTTCCATTTGGCATCAATTTATTTGACTTTTGGGGACAAGGAGTAAGAGATTAGCATTTTGCAAAAGATATATCATTCTACTGTAACTTCTCTCGTGTTAAAATACTAAAATCATGTTAGAGGCGGGAGGATTTCATTTGCTTGATACACTGAGGCACAAATTTCAAGTCTCTAACAAAGATGATAAAGGACTTCAGACTATCAGATCTTAGTACAAACACTGTGACACTCTTTCCTAACACCACTGGAATGCCGAGGTAAAGCACATTAACATGAACGGTCATTTTGTGGCAGTGTGTTCTGTATTAACAGTGTACACAACCTAGATAAGGGTAACAGGATTCGTCTGGTCTTACGTACAGGTTTTTTTGTTTTTAAATGTATTGGAAAATACTTTAAAATAAAAAGATTCCAGTTTCCACTTCCACTGTTTTTTTATGCAAACACACAAACCCAAAGAGAAAAGAGTGTTCAGCAAGATATAGCAGTGCAAAATCAGATTTCTTGACCTTATAGCAATGTTAGGAATGCATTTATTACACATGGAATGTCGGCCACATTCAGATGGAAATTCAGGACATTTAAGTTGCATTAATTAAGAGACAAATGAATCGATTTATCCCCAAAAAGCATGAAAATGTAACAAAAGGCTTAAAAATCCAAGAACTTCACATGAAACATTTTACACAGTGGACATCGCGACAGGTGATTAGTTTGATTCCCATAAAGAAAAAGGATAGTATTAATGTGGAAGGTGAAGACCAGCAGCCTGACGCCACTTTCAACGCCTCATGCAAACGGTTTTATTGGTCACATGTCTGTCTCCCTTCTTCCTCCCAAATAAAACAGCTGCTTGACGAGATGATGTACGGTTGAAGGGTGCCTTCGTTACTCCAACGCAGACGCTGATGAGTCTTGTGTGAGGAGACAGGAGGGCGGCGGCTCTACCCGCTCTCCTCCTTCGCAGCCTGTTCCAGGGCGCTCTCCGAAGCGGCCGAGCCCTCGAACCGCTGAGATGCGATGACGGCCTGGTGAGACATGCTTTTCCTGACTACGTCTCCTTTCCTCCAAAGTGTGATTTCCTGTAGAAGGAGAAGAGGTACGAGCAAGGAAGTATTTAGACTTAGCTTTATTATATGATTTATGTCTATGTGCACTGGTAAAAGTAATGTCATTGTATATTAAACTTAAGACCATGTCAATAACCTGTGATTTCTTGTCAGGGATCTCCCTTTTAAATTTTTTTTGGGTTGTGTTGATTTTAATCACATTAAAAGAACAAATAGTCAGTAAACAGCTGAATCAATGGACAGAGGGAGATGCAAACGAGCCTGCATGACCACATCTGGCACGGTAACATCTCAGTGCATTGTAGCTTTAACATAAATAAAGAAAATGGCGGAATATTTTCTGATTTCCTCATCCTCCTATAAAGGTAAACTCAGTATGTTTGGGTTTTGGACTATTTGAGGATATCACCCTGGGTTTTTGTGGATGGGCATTTTTTTTTCTGACATTTTATTGATTTTAGTAATCATCAGAATAATCCATAATAAAATACCAGTTAGTTGCAGCCCTACTATCACTAAATAAATATTTAAATACAAAAAAGTCTCAGCTGGTTTCAGCTCTTTATCTGTTTGCAGATCGGCTCAATAGAACATCACACTGAGGAGCCGGCAGAGGAAAGCCTGTTAAATGTCCAGTTTCTTATTGGATGTTTCTATCTTGGGTCTTTACCATATACTATGTTAACTCAAGAAACCTTTGTGAAACCCATCCATGGGTATTAGCCATCTCCTAAGTAATCAGCTTTCTCCAGCAGAGATGTAACTGTATTCAGAGGGTCAGTGAAACCAGGTGCTATATTTGCAGGGATAATTCTAAACTCAGATCAGTGCCAGAAAATGTTCAGATTATATGAATACATACAAACACTAAGCACGAGAGAAGCCGGTCTCCCTTTCATCATGAGCGTACCTGCTGTTTGAAGTAGCGTCGTTCCTCCTCATCGATCAACACCAGGTTCAGGTAGTAGCGCACTGAGAACTTCTTGTTGATGTCTCGCATCGTGGGAGTCAGATCATAACCAGCCAGAAATAACCGGATGGGAATGGATTCGCCTAAAATAAGAAGTACATGGTAACAGATTAGATAATGACTTATCTTAACTAAAAAAGTGTTTTATGTTTTTAAGTAACTTGAATCAGCTTTGTATACCTCGGACCGGAGCGCCGTCCATTATCTCGTACTTGGCAATTGTGTCATTTTCATGGTATACACTTGGGCCGGTGCCTGTTGTCTCACGTTTGATTATGTCAATCTCCATGTGCTTTATCTTAATCCTCACCAACAGGAAATAGATTTTTCCCACAATAACATCTTTCAGATGGTACCTGTCAAAAGATAAATACAGCAAAGATACAAGCACAGAATGAGAATTAGAGCTGTAAATAAATAGGTTAATATGTGTACACCCATTATTTATAAACAGCTGTTTGTCGGACACTTTAAATTGTACATCTTCCTTACTTACTTGGATTTGTTATACTCAAACTCGATGTGGAGACAATCTTCAATTCCAACCTCCATCTTAATGGAGGAGTTGAGTTCTGGGTAAGTGCTCAGTGTGTGGACCACGATGTCCATCTCTTTACTGATGTCATTTAGTCGTCTGATCACTGTGGCACGAAGAAAATATCTGCAAATGGAACAAAAAATAAAATAAGTTGCTATATTATCCATCAAACCCATAAAGTATATTTAGTGCTGCAAAGTAAATGCAACAAGTGTCAGTGACACCGCATGACAGGCTGGTTAGAGAGTGACACTCAGAGTCACTCATTTCACTGCCGGTTAAGTGAATGATCAAACTTACCTTAGCTTGACATTCTGGCCTGTGTAGGACTCGTAAGGTTTCTCAACATGAGTGAACTCAAAGTCGAAGGTCTGTGACTGAGTTATTTCACCAGGTCTCGCAAGATCTTTCACCAGCGAAACAAACTCATGATGGTTTCCTCTGTCGTAATACAGCTCTACAAAAGAAGAATCAGTTGATTTTATTATATGATTGCTTCTCATAAAGTACATTTTGAACAGATATATATCTATGATTTTTTTTATTTTATGTTACAATTGGGGATAAGGGCATTGTTTTTAGAGTTTCCCCCAAAGACTGTGTGAAAACAAAATGATGGGAGGAGGGGAATCCAGAAAGGGGAAGTGTTTTTGCTGAAGGATGAGGATTTTTTGGTAGGGAGAGGGAGTCGCTCCTATCTGCACTTCACATCTCAACAGAAAGCAGAACTAAATAGTCATAGAAAATTAACAACTAATAACAGAAGGCAGAATTATACCATAGGAATATTAGTTAAAATTGTAAAGTATATTTTAAAATATGAAATGCATGCTAAGTTATTAAGACTCCTCATTGTTTCCCACAGTAATTCCACATTTATTGGTGCATGTATTGGTTCAATATATAGTGAGGTTTAAACTAAAGTTGCAACCATTTTGTGGAAGTTTGTAAATGTTTGAAAAAAAAGATTGTTGCACCAGTCAATGGTTCTATATTACTTTGTTATTGTGAGGATGGTGTTGCAGGTTCCCTAGAGGTTTGTGTCTTATAAAGATACGAAGTGAAAACACTGCTAACTGTGGTAGAAAGAGAATAAAAAGCAGCCAGAGTGTGATATTTAAACTTATTATGATTGTCATTTTCATCAATAGCAATATATAAAAGTTCAATTGACTAATTATGCACTGTCCAAGCACAGTGAGGAGGTTTAACACACTTGATCTGCCTCACAGAGCAAATGAGCAAAAACGACTAATTCATAAAATCATTTTGAATAATTATTAAGTAATAGGAATAAACAATAATGGTAGAAGAAGTAGTAAAAGTAATAGAGGAGGAACTAAGAAATAAAAAAAGTGACAGTTATCCATATGAAGTGATGTAAACATTTGACTTTGAATTAGAATTTTTTGGGTGTGTGTGTTTTTTTGTTTTTTTTACCTATTTGACCAACAAACTCGATCTTGATGCCCTGGTGCTCCAGCCTCTTCCCGGGGCTCTTCAGCGTGACGTTCACCTTCCCACTCACGGTCTCTCCATCATAGAAGAGAAAGTACTTGTCCTTCTTTCCATCCTCGGTCTTGTGCTCCGCTTTCTTCCTCGTCTCGGCGTCATTGAGCACCACGTCGATGTCTGCACTTTGTCCGAAGCTGAAGAAACTCATGGTCACGTCACGCTCTCCTCTTATCTCGAAAAGAAGAAAAAAAAACCCGACTGAGCGCAAACCGCAGCGGCTTGCTAACGTGGTGCAGAAGACAGCAAACACACAACCCAGCGGAGGCCTTCTCCTGCTCTGAGCTCACACAGCTACACAACTACACAGCTTCACCTGGAGGGCTCGAGGATGCTTCTCAGAACAACTCCACAGCAGCTACATGTCCGCGCTCGTCTCGAGGCTAAACGCGAAACGACGTCCGGAGGAAACGGGCAACAACGCGTCCATTAGCACGTTAGCTCTTGGTTTCCCCTTCCGTGCAGCTGAGCCTCGCGGCCTGCGGGTGCGACAGACACGAACAACAGCCTCACACCGAGGAGAGACGCGACATGTTTGTTTTATCTGACACAGACTGTTGTCAAACCACCAGGAAGTGCGACACCTGTGTGAGACGACTGCTTCCGGGTGGAGCCTTTCAAAAGAAAACCAAAGGAAGACTGGCGGCTCGCACCGGAAGTGTGGACATCTTACACATGCAGTTGAAAACATCAATATTGTTTTCAATAAAATTACGTTGATTGTTTGCATGTTCTTAGTACATGCAGCATGTAATCAATAGTAAACCTTTGGAGGCAGCAGCTTACTTGTATAGCAGTATTTGTACATGGTGGTATTGTGTGCGTGTAGTATACTGTAATACTAGGGTTTGAATATCAGAGGTCATCGGTGCGTGTAGAAATGTTAACAACAAAATCCTGACTGCAAGTGATGTGTGCATAAATGTGTCAAGTCACAAAATTAAGAAATATTCAAATTGCCTTATTACTCCAGGCATTTTAAGCAGTTAAAAGTTTAGTTACATTCTGTAAATCTGCATACTTTCGCCTGCCCTGCATCATACACAACAAAAAAAATGAGACATTTACAGTTCAATTGTATTTAATAGTAACAAAATAACAAGAACATGTAGAATTAATATCAAATGAACAGTGGACATTTTACAACAGTTCCTGAGTTGTTACACAAATCATTGACACAAATGTTTGAAATTAAAATACTACTGTTATTACTGATGGGTTTGACACTGCAGAAACACACTGAACAGTAAATACTGTACATTTATTTCCAACCAACAGTTTTATTGCCATATTTACAATAAGGTATGGTGTGCAGTGTATGAAAATCAAAAGATCAAAATGTTTGTATTTATGTACATTAAATACTGAATCAAAACTGGACAATATGTCCAATACTCAAGAAATTATTATTAAAGTACAGAAGGTCACTTATACACAGAAACAGTACTCTAAAAATCATACTTCACCACCTTTTATATTTCATGACGACTTTGCAGCATAGTGGGATACATGTTTTTTTTTAAATTCAAGGGTTAATCTGTACTTGCACTTACTTGTTATGTCTTTAAATATATAAAGGCTCATGAATTGTGCCATATCAGTCTGAGCTAATCAGCCTTTTTGCCGTCTGCTACTTGTTGTCTGTATAACGACAGTATGTACAAAATCATGTGTCTCCTCTTCCCCACTTGTAACAAACTGAGTAGAGAATGTAATGATCTTATGAACGAAGAAAATTTTGACAATTGCAGTGTACACAGTAAAAAGTTTAAGATTTATAAAAGAGGATTTGTCCAAAAAACAAGAAAAGAGGAACATAGCTTTGAGCATCTTTAGCAATAACACTGTAACAAATATCACAGCAGTAAAATGGTTTAATAATGATTTAAAAAAATGGATAATGACTAAACCAAAAATCTAAATGTAAAATCCCCAAGGTTTCAAATGGAAATTAGAATTAACAAAAGAAAAAAAAATGCTGTTACATTTATAAATATTGTAAAACAGTGCCACAAAAATAATATCAAAATTACTTTGGCAAGTTGGCTGATTTGATTTTAATGTGCCTCAGAGAATAATGTGCCATGTTCCACCTCTAACTTCAGCATCTGGAGCATCATTGTTGCAAATTAACCTCAACAGTTTTTGCTTGTGTATTTGATCCTTTTCCTGCATCTCTAACTCTAACCCCGTCAAATGATGAATGAACTCTTGTGGCGAAAATGGCCCTGTAAAAAAATAAGAATTACAAAAATTAGCATGTGAGGAATTAATGAGACATAAATTAAATTCTGTGTATGTTTCAACAATTTTTGTTTACCTCATCTGCATCACCATAGTCAACACCATCACTCTGTGCTGGCCAGTTGTAGCTGAAACAAATAGATACAAACAATTGAATTTCAATAAAAGAATTCAAATAGCGTAGAACAGATGACAAGATAACAAAGTAATCCTTTTTTTCAGAGCTGTAGTTTATACTCACTTATTTTCATTGTGACCTTTTTTGTGGAAACATCCACGTCTAAGGTAATGACAAATGGAAGCAGTCAAACAGAAGAATACAATCACTGCTCCAAAGCACTTGAGGAAAATCCCAAGAATGTCGACATCATCTGCAACAGAACAAGATATTATACCTTAACAGATTTATATGTGTTCTGAAAAATGTCAGTGCAGTTTTATGATTTGTGTCCTTATCTATTTTGTTTACATGATGCTAAAATGACCACTTGACGAATGGTTTATCTTAAGGATTTGATAAAACATCAGATTCAGTTTCTTAATATCAAATACATTAAGATCCTCAGGGGGTCAAACTTTCCTGTCACAGTATAGATGATGCTGAATTCAAAACTGGCCTAGTCAGCTGGGACTTACTGTGTGGTTTTTAATTGGAAACGCAAGTTGGTTAGATAAATTATTGTTCTCTTGTTCAGTTGGGAAGATTAGGACACTAAAGGTTTGATCTTTAAAAGGTTCAACCTTTGCTTAGGGTTTGACTACAAAAATGGATTTTGCTTTGTTTACTTTTCGTGTGTTTTGTGTAAGAAATGATAGTATCATCTCAACTCTTTTCAGCCTTCTTTGACTGAGGTCACTTTTTTACATTATAGAACCCCCAGGGCATATTTTTACTCAGGACATCTGGGAAAGACGTCTCAGAAACCATCTCACACCTTTGGATGTTTCAAATCTGTGGACAGGAAAACGCGTGTCACTCACAGACTTCCATCATTTGCATGGGACACTGTGCATGTCCTGCATCGTTCTTCGCCTGGCAGTAGTACTCTCCTGCGTCCTCCTTCCTCACTCTTCGAAATTTCTGTGGAGACATTTCCAGAAATATTTCAGTGCATTGACACACAGCACCAATGTCAAAGAATGACAGAGGTCTGCCTGTGGATAAATCCTTAATGTTTTTAACTGTTCTGTTACACTTTATGATACGGACATGAAATGTGTTTAGTAACACAGTAGAATTTCTACCAGTGTGTAAGTCTTTTTCTCAGTTATTATGTTTGTGAAGTGAACTGTAAACATATCACATCACCTTGGCTTTGGATGATTCATTATCCTCCTTTCATATGTGCCAGTTTTGGGTTTAGCTTCCCGACGGGCTATCTTTACACACATGGATTAATCCTGCTATTAGTCATATGATGGTTATGGGTTTATTTGGATTAAGCTGTTCACATTTACGTTAGATAAGCTGCCATTAAGTATTCTAGATGCTGAAGTCTCATCCATAAACAGGTCAGTCAGATACTTCCTCCTGCTTGACTGAGACCGATTCTTCTTTAAACAAGTCATAAACATACCAATAACAGACAACTCTACATCTCTGTCTGTCTTACCAGGCCTCCAGTGTCGGGGTTGATGCTGTATGAGGAGTTGAGCAACTTGGGGCTGTTTTTTGGATCCTGAGGAAGCTCCTCATTGTTGTGGAACCAGCGGTACTGAGGAGCAGGGTAGCCCTCGTTCTCCAGACATCGCAGCTCTGTTGACGTTCCCACTGTGACCGCCTCTGGCACGCTGCACCGTGGTATAACAGGTTTCACTGTGCAAAGACACACATCAGTCAACAACAGGCTAAACACATACAACAACCAACTGTTTTGGTTTTTGACTAGTTGATGCATAAAATATCACAATGAAACACCGTGACACATTAATAGAGCCTGGAATAATGACATAAAGCAGTAGTCCAACTTTTGGGGAATAAACTTAACTATTTTCTTAATGAGAGAAGAGAAAATTGATAATGCTCTTATCTCTGTACAGGACATATAGAAGATTTTTTTTATTGTCACACTGGGTTAAATAAATAAAGATAATATATATAGTAAAAAATAAATAAATTAAGTAATTAAAAACTATAATTTTAATAATCGGATAAATACAGTAATACAATAGTACAGAAATATATTTACAACAATAAAATAAGAATTACACCTATTTATTTAGAATGTATCTCAAACTATTGCTATAAAATTTCCTTTAACCCCACAAATGATAAAATATGATTTCCATAATAATATAAAAACAAAGACAAGCAACTACATTTTAGATTTTTGAGGTGCAGTTTAATTTTCGGTTTGTCTGCTGACAAGCAATAATGTGAGTGTAGATGTGGTGCAACCATTTATCAGTGGTGGGTTAGGGATCTCTCTACCCAGTGTCGGCCCACCGTACCTCTCACTGCAAGACTAATAAGTATCTCATCAAAGTCCCTTTGATCATCGATGGCGGCCACCTCACAGCGGTACTCTGCAGTGTCAGAGCGAGTGGTGTTGAAGATCAGAATGTTGGCTGGCTCCCTGAGCTGAGCTCTCTGCTCCAAGTCCCCTTCACAGAGAAGAGAAAAAACACTTAACAATTTCTCATTCAAATACACAGCGTGACACTTCATGCAGCAAAAACAGAATCCGGAGCCAACTTCTTTCAAGGTACTATTCATTCAATCTAAGCATTGAGCCCTGAGACACTGTTTTGCAATTCCGTGCTCTGCAGGCTGATATGGTTCTTTAAAAAGAGAGTTTCTGAATGGCTTACCTGCTATCTTGTTTTGGAAGTACACATAACTGGGGACACCGTTTTTAATCTTTTTCCACTCAATCCTTGGGTTGTTTGTTGAGATGGACTCTATTAAACAGGTCAGTTCGATGGCTGTGGAGGAAACAAAAAGCGTGCGAGCAGGAGTCAGGAAGAGAAAAGCTACTTTGGCACAAATATGTTTGTGATTTTCCAGCAACTTACGCTCAAACTCATTTGCCCACACAATCTTGTCCGTGGTTCGAAGGGTTACCCCGACTGATGATGGAATTTGGCCTGTGGAAAATAAAAAAAGACACAAAATGAGTAACGCTGACAGCATACACAAGCATTAGCAGACATTATCTAGTGGGCATGTTGCCTAATAAACAGAGGATTAGACAGATAAATTTAGAAACTAAGAGAGTGTGAGAGGCTTGGGATTCAGTTTAGGGCAAACATATCTTATTAATTAATTCCCATTTCTGTTTAAGAGGATTATAACCTGGGGCCAAAAAGTGTAAGTTTGGCACATAGTGTTTTAATATAAACTGACTTTGAGTACAAATATTCAAGCTTCAATATTTGATTTCTTTCTTTTGTAGTGGTTAAGGGTAAATAATTCAGTTGGTCATGTTTCATTGCAAGTAAGAGCAGGTTTTAAAAGTTAAATTGCTGCAATAAAATATTAATACAGTGCTATCTGTAAATATGTAGACAGTAATACAGATCTGTTATTTCGATTTTTCTCCAGCACACTGCATTTGGACTGAAACCCTGACCAAGGTTAAAGCGCTGACTTTCAGCTTTTCAGCCTTTTTCTTTGAGGTTGTCACCGTGCATACTGAAGAGCCTGTGTAGGACGGTTTTCATACACAGTCCCTCTGTGTGCTGCCCTCAGGCCAATGCAGCAGGACGGAAACAGTGAGCGAAAAAACAGTGCGACTGAGAAACCCTTTCCACTCTACAGTCATTTTGTTTCAATTAGGGAAGAAAAACTGCAGAAATCAAGAGGGACTTGAGTATTTGTGCAAAGATAAACTGGCTGTAGCTAGAGGCTAATTAATCTGTTAGTATCCATATTAGGTTTTTTAGGTTTTTCCCTTTTCTTTATTGTGTTGTGCCTATAAAAGATCTGTTAAAGGCCAAAGTCAGTGGTACAGAGAGTCCATCTCTCCCACAGAAAACACTGCACCTGAAGAAGCTGAAACACCTTGTTTGCATTCCAGGCTTTTATTTTCCATAACGCATCACATGACCACCTATCAGCTAATTTGACCCGAAATTGGTGTTGCAGACCCATCGCCATTGTTACCATGGCTACAGCAGTGTTTGCAGCTGATCAGGAAGCCTCTAGGTTAGGAGTGTGACATTTTCGACACACGCTTTGAGCAGATGACCAATCAGAGCAGACTGGGCTTTTTGGGCCAACAGCTAAAATGGAGCGTTTCAGACAGAGGCTGAAAAGAGGCGATGATGCAGCAGTGTATGGTCTGAGACAAATAACGCATGGTTTGAACTTATAAACCTATTTTGATAGACCCCTGTTAAAATTATAAAACTAAGTGAGTAAATTATGGAGACGTCTACTGTATCTCATAGCAAGCAAGTGTATATCCAAAAATATCTAACCATTCACAAATCCTCCTTAATTATGACACAGTAAAGTTACCAAAAAAAGATGACCGATCTTGTGCAATGTGGTTGGTGATGCTTGTTTTCTTTCCCTTTTTAATGTATTTGTGAGCATTTGAATCAGGAGGACATAGATCTCACTCGTGTTTGGGTGATGAAACATCTCTGACTAACACCTGGGAGCAGTCAATGATGCATCACCCGCTAGAGCAAAGTGCTACCATTTCATTTCTGTAAAAATATTTCCAGTATTTGATCCAGTGTGTGCTATTATAGCATTTTTGAAATGTCGACTTTGTGGAAGGGTTATGCAATTTTTACATTGTTATATAACAAATTCGGGCCAAACGGTAGTTTAAAAGCCACATATGCCCTAAGACATTAAAAGATACAAGAGTTACTTGCTTCACTAAATTGTGATGCTAAAATACTCTGAGCTTCAGTGAATAAATAATTTATAGAAATCCCCAAACAAAGCTAATGCAAAGGCACAGACAGAACGCAACAGTGGGACTGTGCTTCCGTTTTTAACATATTTAATCAACATCATCTCAACATCATGCCCCCCGGTTCAAACAACACATGACATATACTTATTTTAAGTTCCTTGCTTGAGTGAACTCCTTAAAGCAATCAGTGTTATTTTGTAAATGTCACAATATAATAACAAGAGGCATATTTCACAAGTTCAGTAAAAACTGGGCCAGTACAAAGCCAAGTTAAGCGTTAAATTAGAGAGTCGTGGGAAGGCGGGGGACGACAACAATAAATTAGGGGAATGTGAAAATTATAATTTCAGATGTACTCAGGACTCAACAGTGTGTTTGGTTTAAAATGCAGAAAATAAATAAGCACGTTGGTCCCGTACACTCAACCTACTGTGTCTGTGATGCTTCTAAATGTTGTAATTGCTGGGTATACATGGAACTAACAGCCCCCATGCTGAGTAATGATGGCCTCCATGTGGGGTCATATGAAGGGTTTCAGATGAAGCAGAACGTAGACAATAACAGTCATCAGGCTTTGAGCAGGGATTCTGCTCCTGTTGGCCTGAGGCACTCGGAGCCACTCGAGGTATCTGTTCGAAGCGGCCTTGTGAGCACACGAGTGACCCTGAGATGTGCAGTGTGACTTGGAGCAACGGGGAGCGAGCGTATAGCTGATGCTCAGCCTGCAAGTGATGTAAACATGGGTCCTGCCAAGGCATCCGGTCATACAAGCACAGCTGCGGACACTGATGAGATCTGACTCCCAGGTCTCAGCTTCCGTCCCTGTTGCTGACTTTCCCACCCTGTGCATCAAGAGCTATTTTTACCCCAACTGTGACTGGACATCCTGAGAGACACAAAAAAGTGCACATCCAGCAAATGCTCGCTTGACATATGCATATAAAACAGACAGGCGTTGGGGGGAGGGTAAATTGAAGGGACCCATTTTCAGGACAGAAGGGAAACTAAAACTCTGTATGATATTGGCCATTTAATAAAATCTGATGCAATCACAGTGGAAAATATTGCGTTACAAAAACAACAAAAACAAATGCGCACTAAAACAGTTTTAGGCAGTGTCTCATGTGTCAGAGTCCGTTTGTTTTTGTAAAGCTCTCTGGAACTCTGATAAAAGGTCATTGGAGGAGACCTTTGTTGCATGTGACCTCCCCCGCGTCCATTTGGCCAAAAATGTCCTGAAAATGAACAAAAAAACTTTTCTGTCTTTATTTTTGCAGTATTTAAAGGGCTTTACTGTAGATGTAGTCTACAGAGGATTGAGTAGATACAAGGAAAACCAAAATCCCAAATTAGCAACAACCAGGCAGTATTAACATGATTTTAGTGAAGGTTTATCCAAACAAAACAAAACTAGGCCGTGGGAAAGACTAACCACAGTCGATTAACAAGACAATGTGCAGCTAATTACTAATACAGGCTTAGAATAAAAGCATTCATACAGCCAAGCTTGGACCCCCAGTGACACAATGTAGGCTGAGGAGAAGACAATATTTTTGAATTATGGGAATAATCTCAGCGCCTGCTGGAAAGCGAACAGAGGCTGGATTTTAATCCCTCTGCTATTGTAACGCAGAGACAATACAGGTCTATAGCCCGTTCTGAGGGAAACACACTCCTAACTAGCCACATTCTGCAATCCTCTTATGGGCTAAATGTGAAAACAACCACCCATCCCCATCCCTGCAACAAAAAGTTGTTGATCCAGTGCATCTATAAAAAGCCAGTTTCCCAGACATTCCAGTGCAGTCTGCTGCAAATATGCTAAAGGCAGAGTTAGCTGTGAGCAGACAGGGAGAGGAGTGAGGACATGGACCGGTGGGATTCACAGCATAGTGGAGTGAGTGTGTAATAACAATTAATCACTCCAGTAGATTAGAGGGAGACAGTCATGTTTTCATAAATAATTGAGGGATATGTAAGAAAGAGACACGTGAACTGTACTTTGCTCTTGTGTTTTCTAAAGACGCCTGTGGACAGAAAAACTCTCAACACTGCAGGATCCCACACAGAGAGATAATGTAGCTCCAGTAGATTTAATCTCTGCAGTCCCACTGACGCATCAGACTACAAGTATTGAATAAACATTACAACTATATCAATCAGAACGTATTGGGGGTTTTATAAACAAAACATCAAAAATAGAAAAAAAAGGTTTCATTATTTGACGCCGATAACTAATAAATCGCTTTTGTCATTTAAAACACAAAACTACCAATGATTCTCTCACTCCAGCTTCGCAGATGTGAAGATTTGTCTTCAGAATTTTCTATTAATCTATTAATATTAGTCAAAAACATGACTGCTTCTATATTTCTGAGCTATAAGGTCGGACCTGTTTCAGCACCAAAGCAGTATCAACAATCTAATAAATGTAAGATTTGCCTGTCAGCCTTCTCTTAGTCATTAAATTCACACTTTGCAGAAGACCTGGGTCAAAAGTTCAGCCTTTACAGATTTAATTTTCATGGTGTAACTGACTGACTCCACAAATTTTTATTGAGCACCAGCAGCAGGGTGACCTCACAGCAAATGCACACCAGGCTGGATGCAACACATCGCTCAGCATCCGCCACATTGATCAACTCAAAAGCTCCAGCTGTTTTTAAGGGCAGGCACCATGAGACATGTCACCTCTGCTGCGCGGCCTCACCATGACTGACTACATTTTCAACTGACGGCCTCGACCTGCGGCCCTGACAACACCCCACCCTCCGCCATCAATCACCACGTGATCACCAAAGGTCAGTACACAATCGTGTTTTTTCAAATCCATCACTTGGACGGGATTCGAGCTGGTTAGAAAGATGACGTTCAAATTTTGGGTTTTATTGGTTATGACCGATAAGTAGAGTTGAAACCATTTATAGATAATTTGATTGACCATAATAATTGACCAGCAACTATTTTGATACCTGATTAATCATGTGAGTAATTTCTCAAGCAAAAATGGCCCTTTAATTTAGGTCCTGAAATGTGAGGATTCTGTTTTATATCACAGAATTCCAAATATGTTTAGGTTTCAAAATTACAATCAAATTGAAAACAGCCTGTTACAGACTAACCTTTAATACACCAAACAAATAACCGATGACGCAACATTGGCAGTTATTAGTGGATCGATGATAATAATCCTTAGTTGCAACCTGAACCAAATGGTGCGCACACAATGTCACATTCTGACCAGGCACCAGTTATAAAGGTTTTGACAGGACAGGAGACCAACTCATTCTTACTTATTCATTAACACTTTGTCATATTATTACAAAATGATCAATCCATGTACCCTTTATTGATGGTTTAACATTCATAACTGTAGACTTACACCTGCCTTAGCGCAGTTCTCCTCATGTATTTTAGTGCAACCCTGTCCCCCGTGCTACAGGAAGATTTTTCACATCATCAACAACTTGGTCAACAAAAACCCTGGGTTCACTACATATTTAATGTTTGTAAAGATGAATTGAAACCACTATTATCAGACACAATGGACCTTTTATTACTGAATGTTGGGGGCTTCATCTTGCACAGGAAAGCATCTTTTCTCATTAATAGTGGACGGTTCTGTCTGACTCCCAGTTCTTTGGACCATTTATCTACAACAAACAAATCCGTATCATTAGATTAACCTGTAAATATTCACATTGATGAGCTGTTGACTAATTTCAGCTCTTAAGTACTGAGTGGTCTCTGGATGATTAAAGAAATAATGAAACCATCATGTAGTGATGGAGGTTAAATCTGACCATTAAGTGAGAAATTCTTCATATATATATTACATTTATAAATAAAGGCATTGGATTAGACTTGAAGATTCAGTTACCCATTTCATCTCACTTCTGAAGACACTTCTCTATAAAAATGCTTCTATGTCTATTGCTTTTATTATCTGTATTTGTATTACTAATATTTGTAAGTTTTATATCGTTTGTTGTAAAGCAGTTTGTTAATTTAAGTCTTTATTATAATTATCATTGGTTGCAGCCTATGATGCCTGTGCAACTTGTACCATAAATGCATCATGGCACAGTGAGATGCAGCACTGACGAACACACACTGGACGCATGTTGTATCTGAGATGCTCCCACACACAGGCCTGGGGTGTTTCT